ACAGCGTACAGAGTCCTGCGCAGCCACCTCCTGTCAAGCGCCATCGATCGACGTTCGACTAACACTCCCTCCCCAGTCGTCACTCGTTCTGTCGCCACCACTACCTATGACGATGGACTTCTGCAGGGATTCAAAACCTCAGAACAATAAACAGACTGTCCGACCAGACCTCCTTCTTTCCTATAAATATAGCAGGAACTTAAAGTGCTAGCAGATATAAAAAGTAGACCGTCGTGACCGACGATGTCCCCCGTGTGTTCCACAGCAGGGACGGTGACTTGCGCGTGACCTAGCCTAAAGTGATGGTAAACTTGCGCAGCATCTACCTCAACCCCCTCTTTCTCCACCGCGACCCGGTGTCAAGACAGAGCCAAGGAGACAGGAGGCGGGAGCGGACGTAAGCCCGTGACGCAGCCGAACACCCGCAACTGGGCGCACCACTACACTCTCTGGTCCACAACGTACGCAGGAATAAACAGGGGCTGGCTCGGCTTTTAAGGCACCTTGATATTCTCAAGCGCGTCAGACGGTTTGTAGTGAGAGATTATGCGATCAGGGGGTCGATCTCACCCTCCCAGAGACCAGTTCACCGTCAGAACCGGTCGGCTGTCTGGCCTGGGACTAGGTGCAGTGGACGATAGAGCTAGACAGTCCGTCTACGCGCGCCCCACGCACGACCCGGTCCCCATACGCACACACACAAGGGGGACAGACCGCTCAGACGTCACACACACACAACGGGGAAGCCACCTGGAGAAATGAGTCAAATGGGACAATCCTCACCTACGTGAGAGGTGCCGGTGATGTGTGGGATTTTGGAGAAATATACGCTTGCTGAATGTATTGTTGGGGAATGTGTGTGGACCCGGGTGTGCGGAATGGAAAGCCAAGGTGCGGGCTCGGTCCCGCCATCCACCTGTGCCCCCCCCCCCACCTACGGTCTTCTTGACTCTCTCTTAACACCGAGTCCAGGTGGCGAATTGGGAGGAGAGAGTGCGGCAAATGCCGTGTAAGTCTACGCGAATCGCCGTCCCTGTTCTCACCTTGCAGTAGATCTAATGTAAACTATATGGTATGCACGGCATTTTTTCAGGTTACGCATTTGTGAAGATTCTCAATCCCAAGCAATTTATTTTCAATGCCCACTACTAGTATCGTTGTGCTGAACCACACGAAAGATGCTCGAAAATACTTTCTGCCAACCGGGCAAACATATTAGTAAGGGTCAGTAGGCAGTATTTATAGGATTACCGAAAGCATACCATGCACGCCAGTCAAGCCAACAACACAAAACGGATGACGGTTTCCAGAAGGAATACACTGAGTGATCGACCACGTGAAATGTTGGCTGAAATTCTGAAAAGGCGTTTTTGATTACGAAAGAATACTTAGGTGGTGATGTAATACTGATTAGCATGCAGCATACTCCTATGGCATTTCGGCTTGTGAAAGTTACTTCTTTTCGACCTCCACTTAAGCAGTCATTTTTGCCGAGTGTCGTTTCTGCAGAGGGTCGGAAGGAAGTGCATTCAAAAACCGACATCCTGTCGAGTGCGAACTATTCTAGGATTAATCCGCACGATAAACAATATTACAACCCTACCTGTGTAATCCTTCCTAATCGAAAACGCATGCTCGAATTTCGGCTAGCATTTCATGAGATCGGTCACGCACCGTATGAACGTAATTCTCCCCTTTGAATAAACTATCAGAAAGCGGCCATCTAATGATGCCAAATTAGCCAAAAATTACAATTCAATCGTCATAGCCCACCTTTTCGTGTCTATGGGCGATAGGAGTTCATTGCCTTTGCTGGGCTTCCTACTATTGCACAGATGTGACATCTGCACTGGCGTTTCGAAAATAACGCATTTTTAAAAAATTCCATTCGCACTTTCTCTACCACAAGTAAGTTAAAACACTATCCTAGTGACTTCTAGTACTTTCAGCGTCTGTGAATGATAAATGTGGAATCCTCAAAAAGATGCGAATGCTGCAATCCACGAGAATGATTCGAGAGAATAGGGACTAATCGTGCACGGGAATCACTCCGCAACATGCACTAACTGACAGACAACGCTGTGCATGTCGGCAGTACTGCCTGTGATCGCAATGGCATCAGGGCCATGCATCACTTCATTCGGTGACAATATCCCAACAGTTGCTCCAGCAAATATTGATTTTGTAAGCAGAATAGCATTACCGACAAATACAAGGGAGGCCAGAACGGACATTTCTGACTTTCTAGCAGGCATCAGCCAGCAATAGCCAAGCTCGATGTGTGGAACACCTGGGGTACGATGCCGCGACCTGTTGGCTAGAAGTCCAACTCCCCCAAACCACTGATCCACGACCTATAAAACATCCAGGTGGGCACTAACGTACAGTGAGTGACCGATCTCATGAAATGTTGGCCGAAATTCTGAAATGCGTTTTCGATTGGGAAGGATTACTTAGGCGCGGTTGTAATACTGATTATCTTGCGGCATAACCCTATAATGCATCGGACGCTGCAGGTTGTCAGCCTTTAAGGCCGCCCAATGCACATTTATACAGCATTGCACCTGTCCGTTTATTACTGCTCCTCATGAAATGTACAACATGGTCAGCACCCATTGCAAAATTTTGTGGACTCTATATGGTATCTTTCTAGAGACATAGAAGAATATGCGATTTTCCTTACGCGGAACCTGGACACCTTATATAGTGAATTCACTGAGCGCTAGTGCATCGAGTGATCAGGCCCCAAATTATACGGCAATTGTAAAATCTTCTTAAAACCCAACGTATCCACATATCACCCATAGTAGGACGTTGATCTGGTAACGAAACTGGGAAACTTCTGGCGTGCCCATGAATATATTCGTCAAAACCGGGCCAAGAGGGTTAGCCCAGGGCCCCTCGAAGAATTATGTCTTTATCCACTTTTGGGCGTTATAATGTTTTCTGTTCTTCTTTGCTGTGATATTCGCTCTCCTTCTTTTGCATTAACAAAGAGGGTCTTTGTGCCTGATCAACTCTTTCGTCCCTTCTGACGTTTGTCTTTGTTGAAGAACAGATTCAAAAGCGGCAATGAACTCTGGGTGTGGGGCGTTTGCTGTGTTGAAAATGGCTCCACGTTCCAGGACTGCAAGTTGTGTGCTGGTGAGGGATTTGGAAGATGGATTGTGGACAAGGTCGCCCGACGAGTTATTTGAGCGAGCTGGTCTCAGTTTGGTAAATTTGCTGATAATTCTTTGCCTTCTTGGCACGAACCTTTCGAGCATGATTGAGAATGGTTTCCTCAATATCCTTCGATCCTTCACTAGTAGTTGCCACGAAATACGACTTCGATTGAGCAATTCCTGGGCCGTAGCACTGAAATCTTTGATGGCAATCATGCATAAGTATTGTAGTCATTTTTCTGCCGTGTCGCGCCAAAATCTCCCTTGCCAAGGTTGCTGAAATGGTCCTTCATTGGGTAGAGCGCTCGGTGTTCACAAGTATCAACCAAAGTTCTGGATTCGTTACGTCAATGACACCATCTGATGTGGAGCACTTTAAAGAATCGCGGAACTCGGTTGACCCGAATATCCAATTCACGATATAAGCTAAAACAAACAACCAACTTCCCTTCCTCGATGTCCTTGTGCGTCGGTGTGCGACTGGGCAATTACAAACTACCGTTTTTAAAAAAAACCATCAACACAAGACAAATACTTCAGAAGCAATCACCCCCTCTCTGACAAATGCAGCTGTGTCCGTACTCTAGTCCAAAGAATTGAAACACACTGCAGCAAACCATCCAAAAAAGATTTGAACGACAATAACTCCATGACCTTATTCGGGCCAAAGGATGCCCAAGCTACTTCATCAATCAGAGCAAGTGCCGAGTCAACAGGCGACAACCACAAGAAGAATCATCTGAAGTATGGAGGGCTATTCCTTACATTATAGCAGTCTCCGAGGCTGTTTCTCGTCTGTTACAACCATCCAGGATAGGCATTGTCCATCGACCTCAGGCAGCAATTCGTTGCCGTTTGATGCAACCCAAAGAAATACTGCCACCCACTGAAACCTCAGCAGTTGCCTATAAAATACGTTGCAACAATGGAGACTGCAACTCTTTTGGGGAAATCGGGCGGAAATTTCAGACCCGCCTACATGAGCACAAACTACCAACTCGGAAACTAGACTCAAACCCACGGTTTGCGACTCAAATCTGAGAAACTGATCATAGTTTTGACCTTCAAGGAGCAAACATCCTAAGCCTGGGCACGTCAAGGACAGAACGTCTTAGAAGAGAGGCTTGGTACTCAGATGCCAAATCCATTAACAGGCATCTTGACCTCCCTGCGGCCTATAAAGTCCTACGTTATTACATACGCCATAAAAGGAACAGCAGTAAAATGTCCCTGATCCGGTGAACCCTGTATTTTTCACAGGCAGCCACAATGGTCAGACTAGTGTGCCTAAGATTTCCGCTGAAAGCCATGCAAGCAGACAAATGTTGAAAGAAGATCACGGGAAACAAAACAGTGTTTTTTGGTTTCACCAGCTGTGGCCTCCGGTCTAATGCCTACTTTGAATATTTCGTGGTGTCAGGTAATGAAGCTGATGTCGCAGAAGGACACCGGGGGCTAAATCGAAGTTCAGCCTAAAACAAGCTAGTATACTCACCTGGAATATTCTGCTAAATTCAAGCACGTGCGGTCGACATCGGCACACCGAATGTTCTTAACCCTGGTTGGTCGATTTTTACTGTCGGTAAACATCCCTCGACGGGTTATGCAGCACTACATGCGTGAGATGAAGGTCCGTATATATTATTGCCCCCCAAGGTGTGGGTTTTATTGCCGAGTCTAGCTGAAACAACTAGAACAGACTAAATCATGGCATCTCCCTTCACGCTGAATCACCGCGCATGGATTTCTCTCTTCGCGTTGCTGGGATTCCTTAAGATACCCAACGATGCATACCTTACAAGAGAACGTTTGGTAAACGTTGTCGAAACTGTGAAAATGGGCGTTTCCTCGACTCTATGCGACGCCGTCTGGGTTAAAGTCGGTGAAATGACACGGGACGGCGCCTACGACCTGAGTCTTCGTTACTGTGTAGATCCGCATCGCCCAATAACCAGACATGACTCATTTCCCCTCGGTATCATTAGCAAGAAGAATGGAGATCGCAATATCAGCTATGCAGAGCTGGCGAAAATAAGCGATACTGACTGGAAAAGGCCAATTGATCCGGGCGTCTTCCTTTTGTATCCGCAGGGTTTTGCACTGCCTGAACTCATCAAGAATTACAGGGAGACCGGCTGTGTTCCTGAGGTGGGTAAAATTTATGCATCAAATGCAGTCTTTGATACTGTTCGGAAAATAAGGTAAAAGATGAAAGAGAATGTTGCAAAGTCCACTCAGTCTCGTTGTGCATGCTAGCACACAGTACCTGGCTGATTTTCTGTAAAAAGAAGATTGGGCGAGCAGCAGAACAATTGGTTTATCTTTATAAGCCAGCTAGTTTTGTGTGTACGCGATCCGAGCATACGCTCAATCTGATCTGTGTAGTAACAAGGGCAGTTTTCGCACAAAATATGTTCGACTACCCCAGATTGCTCAACGGGATTTAACCGGACATTTGCTCCCATAAACTTGCGGTACTTGGTGGCTTTGGGTCGGTGTGCGATTCCAGCACATAGTCTCGCTTTTGACGCCAGCGTACAGAGCCCTGGGCAGCCACCTCCAGGCAAGCGCCATCGATCGACGTTCGACTAACACACCCCCACAGTCGTTGCTCGTTCTGTCGCCACAACTACCTCTGACGATGGACTTCTGCAGGGATTCAAAACCTCAGAACAATAAACAGACTGTCCGACCAGTCCTCCTTCTTTCCTATAAATATAGCAGGAACTTAAAGTGCTAGCAGGTATAAAAAGTAGACCGTCGTGACCGACGATGTCCCCCGTGTGTTTCACAACAGGGACGGTAACTTGCGCGTGACCTAGCCTAAAGTGATGGTAAACTTGCGCAGCATCTACCTCAACCCCCTCTTTCTCCACCGCGACCCGGTGTCAAGACAGAGCCAAGGAGACAGGAGGCGGGAGCGGACGTAAGCCCGTGACGCAGCCGAACACCCGCAACTGGGTGCACCACTACACTCTCTGGTCCACAACGTACGCAGGAATAAACAGGGGCTGGCTCGGCTTTTAAGGCACCTCGATATTCTCAAGCGCGTCAGATTGTTTGTAGTAAGGGATTATGCGATCAGGGGGTCGATCTCACCCTCCCAGACACCAGGTCACTGTCCAAACCGGTCGGATATCTGACCTGGAATAGGTGCAGTGGACGACAGAGCTAGACAGTCCGTCTACGCGCGCCCTACGCACGACCCGTTCTCCATACCCACACGCACACACGAGGGGAACGAACCGCTCAGACGTCACACACACACACACAACGGGGAAGCCACCTGGAGAAATGAGTCAAATTGCACACTCCTCACCTACTTGAGAGGTGCCGGTGATGTGTGATCGGGTACATTAAGAATGACGTAGGGGTGCGCACCAATCGCGTTATGGAATCCACTTGTCGCTTTGTTCTTTAGGGATCCCTCTTGAGCCCGCCAGCAGCCGTACAGCTGCCGGCTACCCCTAGAGAATCCACAGGACACCTATTTATTTCTGCTTTCATAATGCCTCCGAGCCCAAAACGCCTCTTTCTTGTACACTTTTAGCCTCCATTAAATAGCCCCACCATACGGTTACTCAAAGTGAGCACTTCGGTTTGTCCACCGGAAGGAATTAACGCTTCTGACCGCGAACACATCCACGACCTCGTCGTCATTGTGAAATCAGCCGTCTACAACTTCGAGGACAGACAAAACTTTCGCAGATTCTACGCCAATCTGCGAAACGAGAGCGGCGCTAAGCTGCCTTATCGCATAGGAGTAGTGTTCGTGGTGGGCCTGCCAACAAGCGCAAGCAGCAATTCCTTCCAACGCGATGGTTTCAACATCTCACTGCCCGGTCGCGCCGGGAACTCGCTCGTCAACATTGTAAACCGCCGCGCCCAGATTCGAACTCGCCTAGAGCAGGAGATGCGTGAACACGATGATCTCATCGTGGGCGACTTCGAGGACACCTACTATAATCTGTCTGTGAAGATGCATCACACATTCGTGTGGGCGGCGAGGTTCTGTCGCGAACGTCCTGCCTTCATGTTCCTCGAAGATGACATTGGTTTCAATGAGAAGCGCCTCCAGGCCGTTCTGTTCAGTCTGCCGGTGGATTGGCGGCGCAGAGTTTCCATTTCGAGTACTCACTGGAATAGTCCCACCGTGCGTCCTACCGATTCTGCTGCATATCGGAAGTGGGCACTGTCGAAGCGGGAGGTTCCGTGGCCAGTGCATGCGCCCTACAGCAACGGTTACTTTTACATGCTTGGTTACGATCACGTGGCGGATCTGGCGTTGGCCATGTCCTTCACCAAGAGCCTTCCCATTGACGATATCTGGTTGGGTCTGGTGATGCATAGGATTGGCCTCCATTTCAACTTACCAACTGGGATCACCAGCTCCATGAAGCATCAAGCCAATGTCAGCGGGTATATTGTTTTACCCCTTAATTCCCTCCTCAGTGCATCGACGCAAAAGCAACTGTAGGACAGATCGTTTGAAAAAAATGCTGGTAGTCATGACAACCAGGGAAAAACACCTTCCAGAAACCCTAAAGACGACGTCTGCATGCCCTTGTTGTAACTTCACCACGTTTTGGTCGATTTTTATACATCATCGCGTGCGAGTTTTGCTCTTCGAATGGTTGTTTGTAAATGATTGAGTAAAACCCTGAATATTCCCTCAAGTCAGCTCCGTTTTGCTAAATCTTTCAAGTGTGTATTTTACAAAAAAAATGAGCATTCGTCGATGAATTGGACGATGCATTTCTCGGTGCTGTGCGAAACGAAGGCGAATCCAATGAAACGATGCCTAGCCTCTGCTGTGCGCCCGCTATGAGGCTGCTGGTTGGGCTCGAGAAAGAGCCCTTAAGGCAAAACGGAACGAATGAGTTCCGTATCCACGATCGGTGAGCGCCCCCTACCATTGTATATTCCCGATCGAAAACCGACAGGGCAACGGGCTCGTGGCCCGGTGGGTAGAGGCGTGGACTTCTAAACCTACAGGTCGCGAGTTCGAGGCTCGGATGTTTTACACTTCGGGCTTGGGTATGGCTGGCTGACGACGGCTAATAAGTCGGAAATGGCCATTTCAGTCTCCCTTGTCTTTGTCGGTAATACCATTCTGCCTATATATCATGCGCCGCTGTGCGGCTGCTGGTTGGGCTCGAGATGGATTTCTTTGAGAAAATACAAAACGTGTTGTGTAGATTTCCGAGATTGGTTCTCCAGCTCGTCTTAGGACTATGAGTGTACAAAAGCACTTAACTTCTAGACTGAGTCTAACAAAGGATTTCATGATTGGTTAAAGTCTGCATCAATGCGTGCTATTTGCAATTTCTCACCTCCAGGGAATTTGTTGGACCAGTCTGAATCCGTCCTAAACGATTTTCTGTGTAGTATCTAGATCGAGTTGGGGAACCAGTCTCGAAAATCTACACAATAAAATTTACAGTCTTCCAAAGAATTCTGTCCTTCTTATTAGATTTCTTAGGATACCTGTTTTTCACTTCATACATACATATGATAGAGAGGCGCTCACTGGTCGTTTTTTACGGAACTCACTCGTCCCGTTGTGCCTTAGGGCTCTCTATCGAGCCCAACCAGCTGCCGCATTGCGGAGCGGGAGATAGGATCGAGTCCCACTTCAGGGTTCGGTGTGACTGCCTGGCGACGGCTAATGAGCCCGAAATGGCCATTCTAGTCGCCATGGTATTGCTGATAACGTTACTCTGCCTGTATATATATATATATTATGTGATGTTAGGGGGCGCTCACCGATCGTGGATACGGAACTCACTCGTTCCGTTTTGCCTTAAGAGCTCTCTCTCGAGCCCAACCAGCAGCCGCACAGCGGCGCATGATATATAGGCAGAATGATATTACCGACAAAGACAAGGGAGACTGGAATGGCCATTTCTGGCTTATTAGCCGTCGTTAGCCAGCCATACCCAAGCCCGAAGGTGTGCTAACTCATGAAATGTTAACGGAAATTCCGATAGTCTTTTCGACTCGAAAAGATGTTTGAGTGGGATTGTAATAATAATTGTCATGTTGGCTTTGGAAAGAACTTCTTTTCGGTCGCCTGCAAAAATTGCGCTCGGTAAAAAAAGAACTACTTATGTAGAATGAAATTTTTTCGTTGATTTTCTGTTAACTTATAACTTCAAATATATGTCATAGAAAATATGCACACACATATTCATTGTATTAATTTTGTGGAAAATTACGTCTTCTTCAAATTTCATACTAGAATGAAGGTTATAATTCGCTTTTAAAATTTTTTCCAATTTCCGAATAATTTCGAACTCGTCATGCTGTTACTTTTGCACTCAGGGTTTAAAAACTACAAGCTGTATATTTTTCGTGTACGAAAAACCACTCATTGATCTACCGTTCCAAGATATACCGTATATATTTGTCAGTGAACTTGAACCATATTGTCAACTATACAAGCAATATTAGTAAATGAAGAGACATTTCGCGGTCTTAGAAAACCTCATAGACAGAAACCGTTTTAAAGACCGAATTGTAGCCCTCCGTCAAGTATGAACTTTGTAGGTGTAATTTTCTACTAAAAGTGGGAAAGAATGGTTAGTATCATGCATGTTTCCTACGAAATGTATTTGAATTCATAGGGGCATTGAAAATCAATGAGTAATATCCACACCAATTAAGTAGTCTTTTTTACAGAAGTGTAGATTTTGCAGGCGGCCGAATAGAAGTTCGTGAAAAAGCCGGTATCGCAAAGAAGTCGGAATACCTTGATACTATGCTACATACTAATGAATATTCCACTCCTACTTTAGTCATCTTTTCGAGTCGAAATGACATTTCACAATTTCGGTCAAAATTTCATGTGTTAGCTCATCTACGGTATGTGATTGATGTTCTGAAAATTGTTAACTGCTGATCTTACAGTGCGCTCTTAAGCGTTGTTGCTTACAATTTTTTGTGCCCAATCAGGCCTATGCCCACATGTATTCTGTAGTCCCAGCGCAGAATACATGAAAGTCGGTGTAATCTGCTGAGGTCTAGAGGGAATTACGGGGTATTGCGGAAGGTCAAGGGGCATCTGGATTTGCTCTGGCAACGAACACACACGCAGTTCTATATGACCTTGAGAGGAACAATTTTAGCAAATGCGGCTTCTATTTCCAGTCACGCTTCCCAGTCCCTAGGAAATACGATGTTTGACCCAACTCCTGTGAGATGATGTTGGAGACTGAGGCGAGAATTTCTAGGCAGTAGAACGTTGGGCATTGTACTCATTCGCATAGCTCCTTCAAACAAAATATCCGATTTTCTTTTTGAACATGCGTCTAAGTAATTTTATCAGCGAAAATGATTAGAAGTTTGACCATAAATTGACCAAACACATGTTCTGGCAGTTTTTGACGTTAATGGCCGCTTCTCTGAGTTAGAGAGAGAGTGAGAGAGAGAGAGAGGGATTCCCTATATTTTAAAATATCAAATTCAAAATTTACAACAAACATGGCTCCATTCACTATGGGCAGTAAAAAAGTTAATAGATTATCCAGGAGTCAAAAAGGTTAACATATAAATAATTATTATTATGATGACAGTTGAAGACTCACGATGATCTCATCGCGGGCGACTTCGAGGACACCTACTACAATCTGTCTGTGAAGATGCATCACACATTCGTGTGGGCGGTCAGGCTCTGTCGCGAACGTCCTGCCTTCATGTTCCTGGAAGATGACATTGGTTTAATGAGAAGCGCCTCCAGGCCGTTCTGTCCAGTCTGCCGCTGGATTGGCGGCGCAGAGTTTCCATTTCGAGTACTCGCTGGAATAGCCCCACAGTGCGTCTCACGGACACTCCGGCCGTCCGAAAATGGGCACTGTCGAAACGGGAGGTTCCGTGGCCAGTGCATGCGCCCTACAGCAACGGATACTTTTACATGCTTGTTTACGATCACGTGGCGGATCTGGCGTTGGTCATGTTCTACACTAAGCGCATTCCCATTGACGATGCGTGGTTGGGTCTGGTGATGCATAGGATTGGTCTTCAGTTCGAGTTGCCAGCTGGGATCGTGTACTCCTTGAAACATCAGGAAAATGTCACCGGCTATATCGCCTTGCCCCTCCAATCTCTCCTGAGCGCATACACGCGAGGACAACTGTAGTGGAATTTCGGTTTGACGATATTTGCATCCATGGCTACCAAACAAAATAATCCCTCAAAAACCCCATTAACATCGTCTGCGTGTCCATACGACGTCTTCCTCTTCTTTGGCTTATTTTTGTGCGTTAAATGACTACGATTTTAGTGATTATGCGGACTGCGAAATGGTCTTGCCAATATGATATTCTGCACCAGGTAAAACATCGTACTATACCTAACTTAGATCTGTGTATTTCATTGGGTCCTGTATATATGCTTTATGTGAAACCGAATACTTATTAATACTATGTGAATGTGGTCATTTGGTCCTAACAATTGGCGATAACCAACCTCATTGCAGCGCTACAATTATTTCCCTGCTCATTGTGGCCATGTGTCTTTCGATGTGGTGGATTCGAATAAACATCAAAAAAATAAGACTTGAGTATAAATGTGCGCTAAAAAATGAATGCATGGCGCATGTTCTACGACTGCATTCCGGCAAGCTCTATCACTAAGTCCTTTGTCGTGTTCGCTGGGTTCATCGTTGTTCTATGTGTTGAATGCGTCCTGAAATCTACTGCCTGTTAAATCAGAGTCCTCTGCGCAACCCAAGACTACAGACCTCTGAATTTCGTTCCTTCCTTTACAAAGGCGGAAGCAAGGTCTTGGCAAACAACTATAGAACAATCAGCCTTACTTCAATTTGCTAGAAATAATGCGCTTCTTAGAACATCATAATCTGCTATGCGATGCCCAGCACGGATTTTGTAGAGGCAGATCATGCGTGACATACTTTATTGGTAAGAACGCTGGACCCGGGCATTCGATGGCGGCAATGCAGTGCCGGAGTCTACGTCGATTTTATGAAAGCATTAGACAGTGTACCACATCAGCGTCTCCTGTACAAATTAAGCCGAACAGGCATAAGGACTTATCTCCTGAGGTAGATTCAAAGCTTCTTGATCGGTCGATCTCAAATCGCCCACGTCGGTAACAGGCAGTCGGCAGAGGTAGTGCTTGAAAGCGGTGTTCCACAAGACTCCGTTCTTGGCCCTACCCTATTCATTATATACATCAACGACTGCGTCAGTGAACTGAATTGTGATGTTGACATGTTCGCTGATGATGCTACACGTTGGAACGTCATCCGAAGTGAATTTGACGAAGACCGCTTGCAGGCAGACCTGGACTGACTCGAGAACTGGCTACAGGTCTGGCTTTTGCCGTTTAATGTGAGTAAGTGGAATGTCTTGTGAGTCGGCAGGATCCGATCTCTGAGCCGGAGGGTTTACCACCTAAATGGCATACCATTGCGAGAAGGTAGACGCCCAGAAAGACGTGAGTGTGGGGGTAACGGCTTCTCTAAAACCGTCGCTCCACTGCTCTTAAGTAGCGAATTCCGCGATGTCAGACCTTTATCTTGTCAAAGGAGCTTTCTCTACTTTCGATGAGTAATGCTTCGTTAAAGTCTTTCGGACATTTGTACGGCCACAGCTAGAGTTTGCTATTCAGGCGTGGAAACCCTGGACCTCTAAAGATCTCAGTATCCTTGAGAAAGTTCAAAGAGGGGCAACCAAACACGTAAGTGGAGCTAACACCAATTATCTCTAGACAGACTACTGTACAGCCCATTTCGTTACGTTACTTTTTTAACACTTGGGACTGTTCGTTCATCTGTGTGGTTTCAAAAACGCCGCCAATCTGAAACCAACTTCCGTAACTGTTTGATGTTTTATTTTCTTATTTTTGACATAATGCCCTTCCTTGTAACAGCTGAAAATTCTTTTATGAAAATTGTTGGCGTTTCGTGCCATAACATTTCGCAATAGTTTTTTTTACAGTAGTTTGTTTTACCACACCGATAACCAATATGCGTAAACAGATATATATTGAGCACGCGAGACATGCCGCCACTTTTCTGTTTCACTCCGTTCGATAAACATGTCCAGACAATGTCTTTCAGCAGTCGACTATGAAAGGATGCGGAAATTAGCCGCGGAAGGATTGTCGCGTGAGTCGTTAGCAAGTAATTAAATACTAGTAATTTTGGTCTGTGGTGAATAAATAATGATAGAACCGTACCTAAAAATAACCATGGCGGGTTAAACGACTAAAGCAAGACGGCGTTTTTGTTCGTTGTACCATTAAAAATTATCATTATATGTCCATTAAGCTTATTTAAAGGAACAATCTGCCGATGATCTCTCTGGACATAATTAGGAAAAGAATGCAAGAATTTGAACTTCATCAACAGAAACTCATGATTATGCTCTTTTTAAATAGGAAACTTATTAAGACACGTTTTTAATTGCTGAAATATATTGATTATCGTTACTCAGTCTTGAAGAGCATTTACTTCTGCGATGAGGTCTTATTTTTAGACAAGCCAATGATGTCGACCCATATGGTCATATGCGAAAATAACTTTCCAAAAAACCACACTGTGCTAACCGCAGCATTCAAGAATTGTGGAAGGTTAATTTTTTTGATGGGGATTAAATCCGGAGAGAGGTCAGTCTGGTGGTCAACTACGGACACCATCAACAGCTAAGTGTTCGCCAAAATTGTGCGGGCTGTTTTCGATTACAATGACATCCACCGACGCCGGCTGGGTACCATAATTTTATGCGAAAATGCACCTGTCAATCGTTCTAAAGACGTATGACCTAAAAAAGCACTTAACCGTAATCTGACTATTTAGGCAACAGCCAACCTGTCCGCGTGTGAACTCTAGTCGATTTTCATCCTTGTCAACAGTCCAGATCTCAATCCGATCGAAATTATTTTCGCACTTGTCAAAAGACATTGCTATAAGGCGAATATGAAACAGTCATGCAAATGGACAATCAACAAAATACTGATCGATTTCATTTTTTACTATTATACATCATTTTCATCATTCCATGCGTCCACCTTCATTTTAAAGCGAGCCCTATTTAAGCGAATTGTAATATGGCAATTTTCTGACATTTTAGTTTTTAATTGGAGATTAATAATATTTACGTTCGCAAATATGCCTTAATTTTAAGATTCTCAGGTCCGATGGAAAAACACTCCCGACGGAGAAGTTGCAAGTTTTGAGGTGTTAGCCCAAGCACTTCAGAAGTGTCCTCAACCGCCCATACAGGATATCCGTGGCCGTCATCAACCGGCAACCCCAAGTGGAAACAGTCGACATCCTATACATCCCTTCTTTCCTAACCAGAAACCATCTTAATCGGAGAAGCACCGGGATCCTATACAATCTCGGCTGTAGTGATATCTACAACTTCTTCTGGAGTGGTCTCCCAAGGCGAAGTGACGCTCGCGTCAGACACAGTGAATTACGATGGTCTCCGGAAAATCATGCAGAAATTTGACTGTCCGGAACGATTTCCGTACATGATGCCTCGGACTGTTGAGAGGATGATGGCGCGCTTCACGGGTACTGCGGACGTTACAGGAGCACTCGCAATGATCAATGGAATGAAGCAAGACAGAGTCTTTCCTCCCATCCTCTTCAGTCTCATTTGCTCTGTCATGGCTATAGACGCCTATTATGATGGGCGCCCTGGGATCTGCATCGTCCACAGGATTGACGGCCAGCCTCTTACTCTTTCCACGACTACTGCCCACCATCTGTTATTCACAGGCGATTTCACGTTCAACACCGCGACAGAGACGGATATGCAATAGTCCACAAGTGTCTTTAAATCAGGCTGCTCAAAATTCGGGATGAACAATTTCCATGCACCAGCGGCCTTCGCATCAGTATCGTGCAACATCAAACTCGACCACGAAGTGGCTTACAGGGGAAGAACAGAGAAGCCTGAAGGAGCAGTCTACGAAGCCTACTGAATCAGCGCTGCCAAGGACATAAGAACTAACAACAAGTCTCAAGCGCACCCAACGTCACCCCCCCCGCAGCAGCCTGCCCACGATGTGGACGAACCTACGGGCGTACGGATCCGCCTCCGCGGATATCTCCGGACCCAATGGAACAAGAAAACGACAACTCCATTTCCTGCTTTCAAAAACGCTTCCATCGTTATTCCTTCACCAATCCTCACTGCACTGACCATCACGGGCACCACCACGGGCACCACGGGCACAACCATCATCACGGGCACCACCACCAACACCACCACCACCACCACCACCCACACGGTCGCCACAGGTGATCGCACCCCTGTTGCCACGACCGGCTCAGCTGATTTCGTTCATGTAATGAAGCATGTGCAAGTCCGAAAGAAGCGGAATTAACTTGGACGAAGCCCAAGATAACATGCGAAAGTTCAGACAATTCGCAATAAATTATCATACGACATGGCAAATTACCAGTAAAATCCCTGAAATGCATGTGACGGATGAGTGACAAATGAAGAAAATACAGTAGCTGTCGTGAATACAAATTTTCCTCTCACCATACAGATGTGCTGCGGAGAGATTGGAGGGGCAAGGCGATATAGCCGGTGACATTTTCCTGATGTTTCAAGGAGTACACGATCCCAGATGGCAACTCGAACTGAAGACCAATCCTATGCATCACCAGACCCAACCACGCATCGTCAATGGGAATGCGCTTAGTGTAGAACATGGCCAAAGCCAGATCCGCCACGTGATCGTAACCAAGCATGTAAAAGTATCCATTGCTGTAGGGAGCATGCACTGGCCACGGAAGTTCCCGCTTCGACAGGGCCCATTTTCGGACGGCCGTAGTGTCCGTGGAACGCACTGTGGGACTATTCCAGCGAGTACTCGAAATAGAAACCGTGCGCCGCCAATCAACCGGCAGAGTGGCCAGCACAGCCTGCAGGCGCTTCTCATTGAAACCAATGTCGTCGTCGAGGAACATGAAGGCAGGACGTTCGCGACAGAACCTGGCCGCCCACACGAATGTGTGATGCATCTTCAGAAACAGATTGTAGTAGGTGTCCTCGAAGTCGGCCACAATGAGATCATCGTGTTCACGCATCTCCTGCTCCAGTCGAGTTCGAATCTGGGCGCGGCGGTTTGCAATGTTGACGAGCGAGTTGCCGGCGCGACCGGGCAGTGAGATGTTGAAACCATCGCGTTGGAATGAATTGCTGCTTGTGGTTGTGGGCAGACCCACCACGAACACTACTCCTTTGCGATTATGTGGTTTAGCGCTACTCTCATTTCGCAGATGAGCGTAGAGTCTGCGAAATTTTTGTCTGTCGTCGAAGTTGTAGACAGTTGATTTCACAATGACGACGAGGTCGTGGTTGTGTTTGTGGTCAGCGACGTCATCTCGCTCTGGTGGACAAACCAAAGTGCTCACTTTGAGAAACCGCATGCTGGGGCCGTTAATGGGAGGCTGCAAACGTACAAGAGGGTTTTGGATGCATAAAGAACAATTTTGCCGCGGAGACAACACAAAGTATACTTCGAATGAATTCTGTGTCATCACGTTAGTTTAAACAAAAGGAAGCACATTGAGGATACTGAAAGTGTTCTTTGTAAGGTGTCAGATCCCGATGTCGTTGAAATCACAAGAAAAATCCTTAAGTGCCCAGAATTCTATCAGTTATCAAAGGGTTTCGTCATGTTAATTGCATTTCCAAAGTTCAAAATCTCAATCAACCAACTGTCCTGAAACGTATGCATATGTTTTGCATGGATCCTAATACTTAAATATTTACCTGAATTCTGAATTGAGTAATTATCGGCTGACCATCTTCTGGCCTAGCATTTGCCATAAGATTTTCTTTGGGTGCTTGTCAACTGCTGACTAAGGTGTGCACACTGAACTTGAGGAACTGAATACTTCTACTGTTTTGCGCTGTCAACAGCAAAGGGAATATGCTCCGGCATACAAAACAACGAAATTCATCAATACCGGTCTGCACGGCGATAGCGCATAAGATGGGAGGAGTTAGACCTTGACAAGCAAAACCCAATCTTCTCCGACTGGCTGTGACATCCGGGTTATTTGTGCGACAGAGTGCTGTGCATAGCGCATCTCGCTGATTGGACCAAATTGGAAGGAATCGTGAGAAGTGCTCACGTGCAGACGATCGATATGCGCTCTGCATCGAAGGCTAAGCGAGAGAAAGAGGCGATCCCTACCAGACAAATGCGATGAAAGCTGGTGGCTAGAGAGAAGTTGGGGGATCAATACGAGCACCACCACCAACACCACCACCACCACCACCCACACGGTCGCCACAGGTGATCACACCCCTGATGCCACGACCGGCTCAGCCGATTTATTTCATGAAATGAAGCATATGCAAGTCCGAAAGAAGCGGAATTAACTCGGACGAAGGCCAAGATAGCATACGAAAGTTCAGACAATTCGCAATAAATTATCATACGATAGGACAAAGTACCAGTAAAATCCCTGGCATGCATGTGACGGATGAGTGACAAATGAAGAAAATGCACTGGCTGTCGTGAATACAAATTTTCCTCTCACCATACAGATGTGCTGCGGAGAGATTGGAGGGGCAAGGCGATATAACCGGTGACATTTTCCTGATTTTTCAAGCAGCACACGATCCCAGCTGGCAACTCGAACTGAAGGCCAATCCTATGCATCACCAGACCCAACCACGCATCGTGAATGGGAATGCGTTTGGTGTAGAACATGGCCAAAGCCATATCCGCCACGTGATCGTAACCCAGCATGTAGAAGTAACCGAACATTTCTCCTATGCGATAAGTCAGTTTAGCGCCGCTCTCGTTTCGCAGATGGGCGTAGTATCTGCGAAAGTTTTGTCTGTCTTTGAAGTTGAAGACGCCTGATTTCACAATGACGACGAGATCGTGGTTGTGTTTGGGGTCAGAAGCGTTAATTCCTTCCGGTGGATAAATAGAAGTGCTCACATTGAGAAACCGTATGGTAAGGCTGTTGACTGGAGTCTGCAAACGTACAAGAGGGCTTTGTATGCATTAAGAACAATTATACCGCGGATACAGCGCAAAGTATACTTCGAATGAATTCTGCGTCGTCGCGTAATTTTAAACAAAATGAGGCGTACTGAGGAGGCCAGGAATGTTCTTTGTAAGACGTCTGATCCTGGTGTCGTTGAAATCACAAGACACATCCTTAAGGGCACAGAATTCTTTCACTTATCCAAGGGTATCGTCACGTTAATTGCATTTCAAAAGTTCAGAGTCTTAACCAACCAACTTTCCTGAAACGTATGCATATATTTTTCATGGATCCTAAACACGAGTATTTACCTGAATTCTTAATTGCGTAATCCGCGGAGGACCGTCTTCTGACCTAGCATTTGCCATAAAATTTTCTTGAGGCGTTTGTCAGCTGCTGACTAAGGTGTGCGCACTGAAATTAGAGAAGTGAATACACTTACTGTTTTGCGCTGTCAACACAGAGGGGATTTGCTCCGGTATACAAAACAACGAGATTCATCAATACCCCTCTGCACTGCGATAGCGCATAAAATGGGAGGAGTTAGGCCTAGGTAATCAAAAACACAATCTTTTCCGACTGGCTGTGACGTCAGGGTTATTTGCGCGATAGAGTGCGTGCATAACGCATCTCGCTGATTGGACCAAAGTGGAAGGAATCGTGAGAAGTGCTCACGTGCAGACGATCGATATGCGCTCTGCATCGAAGGCTCAGCCAGAGAGAGAGGCGATCCCTACCAGACAAATGCGATGAAGGCTGGTGTCTAGAGAGAACTTGGGGGATCAACACGGCGGCAGAGCATCTGATGGTGCTAGAGATCAAACAAGGCAACCGACCGAAATTGACGAACGAATGACATCCATGATGACTACTCTGCGTGTCAGGGGACGGGCAGTGATCTGTTTTCGCTGTCCTGGTCCCAAGTGTAAGCAGAATGTGGGCATTGAAAGTAAAGTAAGGCGAAGAGTGATGCAGAAATCGTGGGTGGAAAAGTAGCCAAAGCTAAAACGGAAAAAAGCAATCTGATGTTTCGGTTTAAAGTTATGGTTAATTTTAGGGTTTGGGTTTGTGTCAGACTGAGAATTGAATTTAAGGTTAAGTTTTGTGCTGCGTTTAAGGGTTTCAGTTAGAGTTGGAGTTTGGATTGCCGTGAAGGTTGGCACTAAGGTTGGTGTTAGGGTAAGTTTAAGTCTAAGGTTATGTTTAATTTTAGGGGAAAGGTAAAGTTTAGGATTTGGTCCAGGGTTAAGGCTAGGCATAGGTCTAGGGTTTGTGGTAGGTTTAGATTTCAGTATCCCTCTTCGTCTTATCTTACTTTCAATGCCCACATTCCGCTTGAACATAAGACCCAAACGGCTTTCCAGGTAACGAAATGTGATGCAGCCCCAATCAGCACTAGGTACTCCAGAGGCAATAAAGCAGATATTAAATTGACAGTGAACCTGCGCTTACCTCTGGAACCAAGCCAGTCTCCCGGTAATTCCGACTGATCTCACGCAGAGCAAAACCCTGCGGATATAGCAGGAACACGTCCGGATTAATTGGTCTTTTCCACTCAGTATCGTTTACTTGGGCCATCTCTGCAAAGGTAATATTCCGACCTCCACCAGTCTTGCTGATGAGATCGAGCGGGAGTGTGTCGTATCTGGTTAATGGGAGGTGCGAATCTACACAATAACGAAAACTCAGGTCGTAGGTGCCGTCCTGTGTCATTTCACTGATACTAATCCAGCTAGCATTGCATATTACTGATGGAACTCGAATTTTCATAGTTTTGACAGCGTTTCGTACCCATTCGCTTGTGAAGTAGACATCGCAGAGTATCCGCGTTATTCCTAATAATGCTATAATTAGGATCCACGTACGATGAAACCGCACGCATCCAGTCATCACGGTTTAGCCTCTTCTTAGTTCATAAAATGGAACGCACATGTTCAACGCGATGATTTATACAGGGCTTTTATTGGGTTCTGAGCGATACAAAACATGCTGAAGGATGCCTACCGGCGGTAATAACCTAGCCAATCAGAACTGGAACAAGTTCTGTTTATGTAGCGAGTCGAAGTGCAAACAGAAGTTCCCGGCAAGTATTCCCACTGGCTGCCGACTCAAGCTGCCTTTGATGATCTGTCGTTGAGTCCTAATTTAGCTGCTGAGATGTACATGAGAAATCAAGCCAGCTCGCTAGCTCCACCAAACATCCGAAATGGGCATTAGGATGAGGGCTGCTTTCAATACTCCGCAGGGGGTTTTCTCCATTCAAAGTAATAGGCGTTTTAAAGTGCGCAAGTAATATGAAGGAATCCCCGATGACCGTCAGATTGGGTGCTTGTGTAACGAAATTCAGCACTGAATATGCTCTCACCAGGTTTATGACAGAGTACTTGGAAAAGGTGATGAGGAAGGATGCATCATCGAGAGGAATCCCTAATATTCAATTCGGGTATCTTTTGACCTTTAAGAATTTACAGGAGAGGAGTAGCGAGTGAGATAGATGCTATGCAAGTGCAATATCACCACAGGCTAAATCATGCACAATCCGTCTTCCTTCAAATTCGGTATTATTTAAATGTCCGGACGCATACCATGTCTTTTTCAGTGGCCGCATTACGTGATTTGGACCATTGCGCTTCTCGTGTATACTCTCGAACTCCCCCCTCCCCGCGTTTTCGCTTCGGGTGGAGAGCCATCTTCCACCGATTGTGAGGAGGTAAGGAAGGAGGCAGGTAGTTGCCGCGGCCGAAAATGCACCTCGGTGTGCCACTCCTTACCCGTAGAGACAAAACAGAGAATCTGTCGCATCACAGAAACACGCGACCGTGACCTGGCTGGTGGGGAGGTAGAATTACCGGGTGTGAAGATAAACACACAGATAACATCACCTGGTTTAGCCCGACGGCACAGGCGGGTGCAAGGATGTGGCTGCTAGCTTTGGGGAGCCACACGTGAGAGTTGAATGCCTGTCAATGGACACAAAGCGTAGTCAGCACTCGCGAGACACCGGGTGACCTACTGCGACCATCACGCGACCCCACAGCTGGACACACCTCCATCCCGACCGACGATGTCTATTATGTGCTCAAGGGTGACCCTTGCGCGATTTCCTTTACAGTGACGGTAGACGATTGGGACTTGTAATTCAGTTGCCACAGGACGCCGGCTTTTGAAAAAACTTCATTCCGGCTGCATCTAAAACCATATTCCGTAAAAAATGACTTCATACGTAGCATGCATTTTCAGTTATTTTCGATGCCCTTAAAGATTCAATTATATTTCATGGAAAACATGTATAAAAATATTCATTCTTCTGCTCATTCGGTAGAAAATTAAGTCTTCTTCTATTTGTACACTCTAAGGAAGGGTATAAATTTGTTTTTAAATAGTTTTTATATGTGAGGTTTTTCAATGCCGTGACATGG